AAAAGAGTTGGATGGACATTGCTGCTCAATCACAGCTGCCTGGTCAATGTTTTTCATCAGTAATTTAGCAAAGTTGATGGTGGTGGTGTGTGTCTGTCTGTAAGACAGGGAGAGCGAGAGACAGATTTTGTATGATAAGCTTCATGTTATGGACGCTTAGTTTGAGCACTCAGGTCGCATCAGAGCATCAGGTGTGAGACCCTGCATCGTGACCTATGAACTTGTAACCCCTGAGATTCAATCCTACAGTTTGAGCAGGAGCTGAATAACGCGACTGAAAAAAATCGCACAGTGTTTGCCGTTAACGCAGACTGTTTAAACTAAACAAGCTGCTGATAAACATATTAAACCCTGTCAGCCGCAGTATTGTCTTCTGTTTTAACAGTTAAAGCAGCAGAGACAAGCTGTTTACATGTGCGTGGAACTCTAGCGTCATTAACCACGCTAGCTGTTAGCTTATAGCTCACGGTAGCTATAAGCTAACAGCTTTTTTTCAAAAACTTACTCAAGTAAATGTAACTCGTTACTACCCACCTCTGACAGTATCCTTGGGCAAGATACTGAACACCGACCTGCTGCTGATGTGTTTGTCAGAGTGTGAATGTCAGTTAGAAAGCTTAGAAAAAAGTGTTTGCATGACTGTGTGAATGAGACATGTTGTATAGAGGACACTGAAGTAGAGCAGCGTTATATAAGAACGAGTCCGTTTACCATTTCTAGAAATAGTGTTGTTTGCTCCTCACTCCACCAACACAATAATGTGACAATAATGTCCTTTTGACCACTCAAACAAAAGTTATTGTTCTCTTCTCATGGCTACATCTCAGACTTACTTCTCTCAGACGCTACCATGTAGTCAAATGGACTAAAGATGGTGGAACATGATGAGGCTACCCTGAAATATTTATGAAAAGATGACCTCTTTTGTCATTTTTCTCACTTCTACACATTTATGTCAATTTATTATTTACAACCAATGCATGTTTAATACAAATAAACTGGATATGTCGACTCACAGGCCAGTGCCAAAATATTAGGCTTACCTGACATTGTGGAAAAATACAAACTACAGTCACAGACCTCTCAGTTCAGTTT